GAGAGAGAGAGAGAGAGAGAGAGAGAGAGAGAGAGGAGAGAGAGAGAAGAGAGAAAGGGGCCACACAGAAGCTGACACACAGAAGTTGAACCCTCTCAGGCACTCACCCAGGGCGCATCCCTCCAGCCACACCCCACCTGCCGACAGTTACCATCCAGCCAGTCCATTCCAACTAGGAAGGTCTGATTAGGTTCCAGCTCTCATAATCGGATCATTTCACCTCTGAATATTGCAGCATTAACACAGGAGCTTTTGAGGGACACCGTAACAAGAGGTTAATAATAAAATATGTAAGGAATTCAAACAAATCAGTAGCAATAAAACAAACAACCTTATTTAAATATGGGTAAAGGGCCTGGATAAACACTTCTCAAAAGAAGAAAAATGAATAGAGGAACGGAACCAAGGAATGGGGGGAGGGGAGGGAGGGAGGGAGGCAGCCCTGGGGGGTGATACTGGCCAAATGACATTGTGACATTGTGAGCAGGTATGAATGCATAACAACCAATTCCACCATTATATACAACCATAACGCACTGATTTTTAAAAGTGGGGAAAAGAAGGACACGCTCAACATCACTAATTATCAAGGAAATGCAAATCAAAATGAAAATGAGACCTCACCTCACACCTGTTAGAATGGCCATCATCAAAAGATAAGAGGATGTAAGAAAAAGGGAATCGTGGTGCATTTTCAGTGGAGATGTGAATTAGTACAACCATTTTGGAAAACAGTGTGAGGTTTCCCCCCAGAATTAAAACGGGACTTCCCTACGACCCAGCAGTCCCACTCCTGGGTTCATAGCCAAAGGACAGGAAAGCAGTATGCAGAAAGAGGCCGCACGGGGGCATCCAGCAGGTGCTGTCCACCACACTGTGACGCAGCCTGGCCTCTGTCAGCAGATGCCCAGGCAAAGGCGCTGCACCTGCACACATTGTTCAGCCTCAAGAAAAGCAGATCTCATCTTTCACAATGACAAGGGGGAGCCGGAAGGACGCTGTGCTAAGTGAAATCAGACAGGCATAGAGATGTAAATACCACGCACCAGTGAGTAGGAGGGCAGTGGCCGTGACTTGGGCTGGGAGGGATGGGTGGCTGGTGGTCAAAGCCTAAGAGCTCAGTGACGCAGAGCGAGTAAGTCTAGAGATGGAACATGCAGCGCGGTGTTCAAACAGGGGTAAAGGGCCTGGTAAACACTTCTCAAAACACAGTGCTGTACACGTGGGATTTGTTCAGAGTAGGTCCAAAGTGTACTCGGCCACAAAGAACAGTGGGGCCTGAGTGAAGTGACAGGGACACCAGCAAACTTGCTACAATTGGGGGATACATGTGTATGTTAAAACATGGCGCTGTGCGCCTTACATGTAGCTTTATTTGTGAATTATACCTCAGTGAGGCTGGAGAGAGAAAAAATCAACTCAAAATAAACAGTAAAATAATAATTTTTGCACCCGTCTAGGCAGCAGTGATGCAAATAATCTTCACAGAAAAGAGGAGAGCTTTAAAAGTGTTGTCAAGTTAAATCCACACCGACCCACGGAGCACCCACTGGGTGCCAAGGGAGGTGACAAAAATCAGACTCGACAGTCCTGACAGCAAGAGGTGAATCTGACCACAGGACGATAATGAACGCTTATGAGACAATTCAGGAGAGCTCCCCCAAGCCAGTGACATCGGGTGGTGAGGACGCAGCATCGGACCTGAGGAAACTGGGCCACCGCCGCGCGGAAGTGCTAGGAAGGCTTCCCGGTGAGAAGGAGGTTTGGTCAGGGTCCTGACGCAGGCACAGACCTGCGCAGACAAAATGAAGGTGGGAGAACCCCCACCCACAGTTCCAGAGGCCTGAGAGAGCAGGGAGCCTAACCCCCGCAGGGAGAGGGAAGGTTGAGTGTGGGTCCCAGACAGGGGTGCATGGAGGAAAGGAGAGGCTGGGGCAGCCAGCAGGGGGAGGGCAGCAGGGGACCCCAGGAGGAGCACAGAGCACCGTGTGCCCTAGGAAACACTTCCTGAAGCCCTTGGCGAGTCCAGCTCTGGAAGGATAGACCCCAGGAAGAAGGAAACAAGGAAACACGGCCTGAAGCAAAGAGCCCACAGAAAGAACAGGCCTGAGCCTGTTCATGTGCAGGGCAGGGCGGGAGACAAGGAAGGAACGGTTGGCTGCTCTGCCCTCTGCCTGCCCATCAAGCAGCCTCCCTACTTGGTCCAGAACTTCCTCCTGGCTAGCCCGAGGGGTCACTAAAGGTGATGAACCATAACTCCCCATTTGGGAAACTTTCAAAAAAGAGAATGCTGAGTTTTCCTCTCTGCCTCCCTCCTTCTAGCCCTGGGATGAGACAGAACTGGCTAGGGCTGGCTTGGGGGAGGGTTATCTCTGTAGGAAGAATGGGCCTCGGAGCAGATGTGATGGACTGAAGCCTAAGGATTTGCAAATTACAATCTGTCAAGGCCGCTGGCTGTGCTTGTGGATCCCCTAAGACTCCCTTAAGTCCAGAAAAATACAAAAATGGGAATTACAAAACGTAAAGTCATCTGGAAAATCTCCCCAAACCCTCACAAATCCTAAAATAATCAGCCTGTCTGGCAAGCACCATGGCTTCCCTCAACTTGAAAGCCCTTAGTTCTCCAATCCCTAGTCTGCTGCCCGGGGAAGCCAGGCACCAGGCAGCCTGTTCAAACCGCCCTGCTCTGGGTGACAGCCACACTGTAGACCACCGAAGAGCTGAGGTCTGCAGAGGACTCCAGAGACTGAGCAGGCAGCTGCTCTTGTCTCATCTCCCATACTGAACTCCTCATCAGTAACCAGAGGAGGGGCAGCCTTCTTAAACCTCGTCCCGCTTCCCATGACCCGATGGAGCTCCACGATTTCAAAGCACACCGCACTCTCTAAGTTGCTGGTCAGCCACTCACTGAGAGCACACTTGTTGAATGCCTGCTATGAGCTTAGCTGGGTCCCAGGCAGAGGAATGAGAAATGAGTAAGGCTTGTCTTTGGGTTGAAGAAGCTCAGGGCCTCATTGTTGAGCTGTGGCAGAGTTAAACAACAGCGTAGGATGCTGTGAAACTGATTAGAAAATCTGGGAGGTCAGAAGAAGGAGGGTCTGGTAGAAACTGAATTATTAGGAAAAATTAATTACCCTGCTCTGGCTCCTTCCTGCACTGCAAGGACTTAGAAAGTTAAAAACTGCTCTTCAAAGACTGCTTTGCAGGTAGAGCTTGCAGGCAACTTGGGAAGACACCTGGGCCTGGAGCAAAGGGAAGCAAAGGCTGAGTTTTCTTGCCCCTGCATGGGCAAGCATGGTTCACCTGCCGGGTTTACTCAGCGAGCCTCACGGCCCACTTCCTGAGGTGGAGGCATCTGCAGTGACCCCAGTAGTGCCCTGCCTGCTGGATGTGATTCCAGTGTGACCTCACCTGTCCTGTGGCAGCCCCTGGTTTCTGCTCCTAGTGCCCTGCATCCTCTCCTTCCCAGTGTTCTGACATTGCCTCGCCTCTCTGGCCTGTGTTGTTGCAACCCCGTCCTGGCCAGCCTCCAAATCTCATCACTTCCATATCCAGAATTTCCCAGAACCTAGAAAATGGTGTCCAAACCCTGGAGTGTACCACTGCAGTGTCCTCCACAACCTGTGACCCCCTCATCTTCTGCTATTCCTGTCGCCTGAAGTCCAGCAATCCCAGGCCAACTGCAGCTCACTGGGTCACACCCCCCTTGCTCATTTGTACGTTGGCACACTTTTCTCTTTGTTTGCTGCACACTCCTTGCCCCTTCTCTGGCTGGCAAAGATTTATTCTTCCCTTGACCCTCAGCCTCTTCTCACTTTCTCTTAAAGTCGTTCATTCTTATTCTTCTCCCAGGCGGATTTAGATGCTCCTTCCTGAGTCCTGGCTGCACTGAACCCAGCTCACTGTCACACGAACCTTCTCTGTCTCTTGGAATGTTCCAGGTGGAAACTCCGTCTGCTGGCCCCTGAGCCCCTAAGACCCCGTTGAAATGATTGACATGTGGTAGGCACTTGCCAAAGTAGAAGGAATGGCGGAAGGGAGGCAGGTGGGGAGGAAGATGAGGGGGGGACGGCAGGGATGGAAAGGGGTGGCAGCCAGAGCTGAGATTCAGTGGCTCTGCAATTCTGTCCTTTGCATCTCCAGTTTTACAAACTCATCACCTACAAGAGTTAGCTCGGCTCCTCACATTCAGACCTTCCTATGTTTCCAGAAATCTGAGCCCTGTTGGTGCAACAAAACTAGCCCAGGTGCATCGAGTTTGTTTATACATACTGTAGTTTCAAAGCAAAAATAAATAATCGTCATTGTTCCCTTAATCTCCTAGGTATTTACCTTACAGCTCTGGGGAGCGCATTGGTCACTGTTTGGCCCTTTGGAACCAGGACTAGCCTCGCTCAGCCCTCCCCCAGCCTTTTCTTCCTTTGCTCCCCTCCCCTCCCCGTTCTCCTCTCATTCCTGCCATTCTCAGTCCTTCTCCACCAGATTTCACCAGGACTCCACACCAAGAAGAATACAAAGAAAGAGGGATTTTTACTTTAAGAGCAATAACTCCTCCCCCTTTTCTCAGTTTTTCCATCAAAAGACATTGTTGAAAGCCATCCCTTCCACATCTAGACACCCGCTGGTCCTCCGGGAGGGAAGGAGGCTGATCAGGAGGTGAGGCCTCTTTCAGTCAGGCACTCATCGTGCGTGGAGGAGATCTGGCATAGAGGATTTTGTGCAGGTTCACACCTAGTTCCGACCCCTTCATTTGTTAGCTCTAAACCTTGAAGAAGTAATTTTGAATTTAAAGTATCAAAGCTTCCTTTGCAATTGAGAGCACAGGATTGGTGATCTTCCTGCGTAACATTCACTGACGGCTATATTTTTGGCATAGTGAATAATCAGGAGATGCCAAATTTTGTATCTTATTATAGTAAAATGGGACAAATAACGAGCATCGACTGTAAACGTGCCTCTCTGCCTTCTTGTGCTAAGGTGCAGATCCCGACACGCAAACCTTTTCACTGAGAAACCCTGTCAACCCACACTCTTCTGAAGAAGTCCTTCCCAGACTCTGCTACGGGCGACCATGGCCAAGAGGGTGGCCATCGTTGGAGCTGGCGTCAGTGGCTTGGCCGCCATTCGGTGCTGTCTGGAGGAGGGGCTGGAGCCCACCTGCTTTGAGAGGAGCGATGACATTGGAGGGCTGTGGAAGTTCTCGGTGAGTGGCACATCTCTGGGACACCTGGGGAAGGGGACGGGTTCCCAGTGCAGAACAAATCTGATTAGTTCTAATTCAGAGCCAGACAGCAGACCACAGAAGTGCCCGATCTGGAAAGTAAAATCTTACCTCTCCTGTCACACTAACATCTGACCACTCAAAACTACTTCAAAGCAGCAGGACTTATGACTTCTCCGCTCATCAGGCATCACCCGACATGGTGGGCTCTAGCCCTCCAGGATACAGAGGGTGCTGGTGTCAGCAATGAGATAAAAACACGCCACCTCCTTCCCAGGTCGCTGGAAGGCTTCTGTCAATCGCTTCTCTTAAAGGTTAAGAATCAGGTGGAAAAAAAAAAAAAGATAAACAAATCTGAACTAAGACCAGAAGGCCTGAGTTCTAGTCGCAGCTCTTAGGTTTTCCTAGGCAAGTTGTTTTCCTTTCTGGACCTTGAATACTCATTTGTTAAAAAAAGAAGTTGGAAGATAGGTTCCCTCTAATGAGCTTCTTCCCATTTCTAACAGAATATGAGTCTATGATTAATGTACATCTAAGATGAGATACAAGTGATTATAAATGCTGATTATGTAAGTGGCTATCGGTTATCTATTGATTCCAAACCCAGAGAGAAAAATGGTGGTCTTTGCTATTTGATCATTTATAGAAATGACATGGATTTCAAAAGCAAGGTTTGGAGAGGCTTCTAGCCTTTGTGTCCTGACTCTCCCACTGTGGCTGTGACTGGATGTGAATGGTTTGTTTGTGTTTGGCTTGAAGACATTAAACCCACATCCTTTGTCCTATAACCATCTTCCATTGCTAGTTACTGTCCAACCTGCATCAATGGACTCCTTGGATAGAATTGATCAGTGCTAATTCAAAACACGTCTGTATTCATCTCAAAAGGTGTGTGGCTTTTGCCTTCATTTATTTATTTATTGTTGCTTTACATCTTTGCTCCTATTAAATCAAAAGTATTACACAAGGTCCCTAATTTTGTTTTCCATTACAGAATAATCAGGAGTTAATTTTTTTTTTCAAAAATCCCATTCTCTCACATTTGCATTTGCTTAATTTTCTTAAACTAAATCATGAAGTGGCTCTCTACCATCTCTTCAATAACGTCTAAATGCTGAAGGAGCCTCTCTTCTGGCAGGGTTTGCGCCAGGAATGAGATGTAAATATGTGGCATGACCCCTCTACTAAAAATATCCCAACCACTGGAGGAAGCAAGCCATAATATAAGGCCACAGTTCTTTGGAAGCCAATGGGCAAAACTCATTTAACTGGCAAAACATTTACTGAAAGTCGTTAGGTCCAGGGCTGGGGTTGTGGTTCAGGGATAGAGCGCTCACCTAGCACGTGCCAGGCCCTGGGTTCGATCCTCAGCACCACATAAAAATAAGTAAATAAAATAAAGGTATGTGTCCAACTACAACTAATATATATATATATATATATATATATATATATATATATATATACAAAGTCATTAGGTCCAAATACACAAGTTGAATTGCCATGAGACTAAGGCTCACTTTGTGTGACATGGCAGACATTTTAATACATTAAATTACAGGTTGAAACCCAGGATCTCACCAGGAATGTTAGGGGGCAAAACCCCACCTTTCAAAATAGATTTGGCCCTAAGAATTTCCAATAAAGGATGATTGAACTTTATAACAACAAGATAACCCGGGTGAGTGTCAACAGGCAAAGGCCTTGACGTTTTAGAAGTGGACTGGGGAAATCTTAGTGGGTCCAAAGACAATTCCTGAGCCTTGAAGGATGTCCTCAGGCACAGGAAGTAAAGGACCACTGTGAGATGGGATTCCAGAGGTGACAGTCACCAGGTGAGCCAGCCCCAGTACCCCAGGGCATCAACAGTCCCTGAAAGGCACAGAGAAGGCGTAGACTCCTGCACCCAGGGAAGAACCCACATGTTACTGCTGCCACCAGATCAGGAAGTTTATGGGAGCAGTAAGTGACAGCAGTAAGATGCAGAATCAGACTCGGGTGACCCACTGTAAATGCAAAATCCTACTCAGAGGCCCAGTGGGGATGCGAACGCATCCAAATACCTGAAACTTTAGCCTCCTCAACGCACCCCACCCCTTCTTTCTTTTCTGAGGAAAGTTGTGTTGGCACAACATCTGATTCAACAGGGATTTTTTTTAATGTGTTATATAAGCTTTTATCCTGCGAACCTCACACAAGGTGTGAGGAAAGACAGAAACCTGATAACTCAGAACTTTTCACTAGGTGCTTTTCTGAGAAATGGAAACCACGTGGGGTTTAAACACTAACAACCTGAATGTGAGAAAGTTTTAAGTTTCAGACACCCCATATAGGGCCTCAGGGCCTCAAAAGATTTTATCGGTACTGCAATAAGACATTGTTCAATGTGCAATGGGTTAGTGTCATTTTGATCGAAAAAAGAAAAACAATAGAACTGGACTATGTGGACATTTTTTCCCACTAATTAATTTATCCACTCAACCAATGTGTGCTAAGGACACTACGGGCAGGGTGTTGTCAGACTATCGCTGCACCAGGGAGCCTGTATCATAAAAGCAGAGAGAAAACCAGGGTTAAAATAGCAGAATGAAGACTTGGGTACAGCGTAAAGGCAGCAGGTGGAGGTGGAGGAGACTCAGTACTGGTGAGACGGGAGGGAAGCAAGCGCAAGGAGGCAGGACAGGTGGACAGAGATGCAGTATGGGGGAAAAGCAGGCCAGAGTGCTGGAGAGTCAGTACTTCTGTCCTAGGACGAGGAGGGAGGAACACAGATTCCGAGGCCGGCAGTGGTAAGGTGCCAGCAGCCGCGTGGACCTCTGGTCCAGGACAAGGCGTCCGAGAAGAGGCAGAGGCAGCCTGTGCCTGCCCACTGGCTCAGGCCTCTCCACATGCTGAAATAACGAGCCGCGGGCCCTGGAGCATTGTGGTTATATAACATGTTTTCTTTTCCTCTGTTTGAAGAACAGTCTTTGAGGGTAAATTCCAAATGTTTTTTTTTTTTTTCCTCTGTGTTAAGATTGGCTGGGGTCAAGGGATAGGAACAGAGAGTCACTCAAGACGAAAATAATCCCAGACTTTTCACCTCTGTTTCCCAGAGCAGAGTCCTGGAGTCCCCAGCCCCAGCCGGGGCTCCGCCCTCCCGCCTGTCCAGGGGCATCTGAGGAGCCTCGTCCCCCCTCTTGTCCCAGCCAAGGGCGGAAGACACTATCTGAGAGCAAACAGGATGCACTCAGACCCGAGCCCTGGGCCAGGAGCCTTTGTGCCTTTTTCCCAACTCTACAAAATTCCAAAGTGAGACTAAAAAGGTGAAAATCCCGAGGTAGACGGTCCGAGGCACACAGCAACCACAGTGGAGGAAGCGTGTGTTTTCAACTTGAGAAGAGACAGGGCAGCCCCCGGCCCCCAGAGACACCCGCCTCTCCCCTTTCCAGCAGCGTGTCTCCTCGCCCAGGGGTTAGTTAGCTGGGGTGGGCGAAGACAGACCACGGGGGAGTCCCCCCTCCCCCCTTGCACAAGAGTTCCACCAGCCTTGGAGGCTGCCAGCCTCCTAATGGGTTCTCGGGGCAGTACACCGCGTACACTTCTACCCTGTCCTTGCCACAGAGAGGAAATGATTATTTCCAGTTGAGCTTTAGACCGCCTCTCAACATGAAGCCACGTTTCAATGACACAATGGCTTTAAAATGGAGTACCAAGATTCAACCTGAGTTGGAAGGCCTCTGGCTTCCTGTGCTCCTTTGGGGAAGAGGGCATACCAACAACTGGTGAGTTCAAGACGTCTTCCAGGACAGAGTCCACTGACTGTGGGGTTCTCAGACGGCGCTTCCTGGGCCAGCAACAGGAGCTGCTCCTGGAATCTTAGACGCGCTCCCCCCGGGCCCTGCCTCAGGCGCAGGAGATCTGAAACTCTGGTGGCGGGACCAGGAACCTGTTCTGAGGCGACAGTCCTCCCGGGGACCATCACATCAGAGCTGACGAGCCACCTCAGTATGGGGTTCTGGGGCCAGGGAAGTGCCCGCTGGATGTCCGTGCAGCAAGCAAACAGGCCAAGAGCCACAGCCTCCTTTGGATGGTTTTGATGTTGTTTCTTAACATAAGCCTGAGACCAGAACACGCTGGTGCAAGATCAGAAGAGGAAGAGACTAAGGGACTCCAAGAGCAGGGCTGACCTTGGGGCAATCGGGATAGGAAGGTTAACGGGAAGATGGCAGGGTTCTGTGCCAGGCTCTGTGTGCAGGCTTCAGCCCACGTCTCACAGAGAACTTTTAACTTTTGCTTTTTTTTTTTTTTATATTCAAAAGGCTGTAGTCAAATAAGAGTGGAATATTCTCAGGGGAACACCCTCCTTGGCCACCTCTTAAAGCCTGGTTGCTGTTCCTAGGAGCACGCAGAGGAAGGCAGAGCCAGCATTTACCGGTCCGTCTTCACCAACTCTTCCAAAGAGATGATGTGCTTCCCAGACTTCCCGTACCCCGACGACTACCCCAACTACATGCACCACAGCAAGCTCCAGGAGTACCTCCGGGCCTTCGCTCACGCCAAGAGCCTCCTAGGACACATCCGGTTTGAGGTGGGTCCTTGGGACTCGCACGGCTGCTGTTCACGTGGGGGACAGGCTGCAGAAGGGGGCATCTGCCGTGGAAAGCAGAGCTGAGTGCTCCCACCTCTCCAACCAGCTGTTGGTTCAGATGATAAAACACTCGCTGGGGGTTTTTGCTCCCAGGCTCATCCCCCACTAGTCTCCTAGAGCTTCCAGAAAACGCTGGAGGCTGAGATCCCATAAGCCTGCCCTTCCCACCCACAGGCTCTGATGTTTGGGAGATAACCCAAACTGCTCTAGCCCGTATTTCAGACTCTGTGGGTTCAATGTCAATGAGCTGTGCCTCAGGGGAGCGTGGCTTGGGCTAGGTACAACTTAGGGTCTGACAGAGTCAGGGCCATCCTTCACCCCCTGGCTCACTGCATTTCTCCTTGAAGGGTCATAAAGGCTATGGCACGAAGGGCTGTTTCTGTGACGAGGATGTTTTATGCTCATTTGAAACCCTTGGCCTCAGTTACAACTGTTCAGTGCACACACAGAGAATGGGCAAAATAATCAGCAAAATTATGGGTTGGGGTCCTATTTACATAGGAATTTACCTGGAGTAGTTCCAAACACACAGCTAAAATAAAACTTTCTAGTTGTCATTTCATTCCACTCATTTACTCGTTGCACTCATTCATTTCACTTATTTATAATATTCCAAGTGCACGAGGTGCCTCACTTTAGACATTAATGAAGTTCCCAACATGGGCTCTGCTCTGTGCTGTATGTTATGTGTCCAAAAGAACAGCCAGAGATTCACTGAAGATTTGCCTTGACTCCTATTTTAATCTTTCCATACATTTCCCAATGGCCAGGAAAGCTCACAATAATGATTTCTTCCACAGAAAATACTGCAAGAAAGAAAGAAAAAAAAACATGAAAATTATAAATAAAAGGAACGTTTCTGGTTTTCTTTAAGACTCTAGTTACCAGTGTCAAGAAATGTCCTGGCTTCCTAGTCACTGGCCAATGGACGGTGGTTACTGAGAAGGACGGGAAGCAGGAATCTACTGTTTTTGACGCTGTGATGATTTGCTCAGGACATCACGTGTACCCCAATCTGCCAACGGATTCTTTTCCTGGTAAGTATGAAAAAATATATAATAATCTGGGGCTCATATGCAAACATCAGGGTTGACAACAGATCTTTCAATAGATGGGACCTAATTGTTCTTAAGTTACCAAAGATTTCAGAAGGAAAACCATTTCAGTCTGATGATAGGCTAAACATAAACTCCTGGGTTAGGAGAGTCAAAGATGTTCAAGTCAGAGGTCGGACAGACACGAGCTCTTATTTCACAGACGGTGACCACTCAATAGAAGTTCTGATGACACAGGGGGTCTCGGAGTGGAGCGCATTCAAAAAAGTAGAGTCCAGCTAGCAAATAATTTAAAGAAAGGCACATTTTCTTATTTATAGGAAAAACCTAAGACTCTAAATTCATCTTCCTCCATAATCTGCAGATTGATTTTTGTAATCCCAGTGGTTTGGGAGTGTGTGTGTGTGCTTGTGGGGGGTGTATGGAGGCACACTCCTGGGCCGTCCCAAAGTGGCAAATGTCACAGCCTCTCTGCCCCCTCTACTACTTTCTTTCCTTCTCTGCAAAAGGAACACAGTGCCCTCAAAGATAGAGTCCCATTTCCAGGCATGAGGTCCACAGGACAAAAAAGTGTGAAAGTTCATGAAAAATGGAAGACCCAACTGCGGATGTTAGTGGGCAGTAGATGCAGCAGATAGTTGTGTGAGGTCAGAACTCCTGGGCTTCACTCCCTATTCCTCCAGCGCCTGACCACTGAAGCTCTTTGTCCCCAGTTTCGTCACCTTTTAAAATAGAGATATCAATGCTGGCCATTCAGGGCTGTTATCCAGAGTCGATTGTTAAAAACATGGCAAGCACTTAGCAGAGGATCCAGCCCACAGTAAGCACTGCATACGCATTAACTACTATTATACGATTGTCCAAAACAGAAATTCTAACACCTTGAGATGTTAAGACACCAGAGGTAATTATTTGTGGGCTTAGTGTCAAGAACTAAATGGGGAAGGCACGTCAGTTAGGGAATTTTTAAAACTAAGGCTGATAATAGGCTTTTTAAAAAATCGTAAAAAACGGAGTCTTCACAATTTCCCCAAATCACTCAGACCCCTCCCCGTTGCACCTAGGCCTGGAGCAGTTACAAGGCAACTACCTCCACAGCCGTGATTACAAGGGCCCAGAAGCCTTCAAGGGGAAGAGGGTCCTTGTGATCGGCCTGGGGAACTCGGGATCCGACATTGCTGTTGAGCTCAGTCGTCTGGCTGCACAGGTACGTGACCTAATGGCTTTGGGGAAGAACACACACTAAATCAACAGCCTGGGCCCTGGCGATGGTGTCCGCCATGTCATACCACCTGCTGATGTGCCCTTGAAGTCAAGGAGGCCCTGACACATCTGCACGTGCAAAGGTAATGTGGCCCAGGCCGGGAAGAAAGTTCCTTCTGTTGAGACCTGAGGTGAGTGTCCAGGCATAATTACATGAGTAAGTGTGTCTATGTAGGTTTTTGTGTTAATTTTATGTTCTGATAGCCTCCCCGTCAATCGGTTCCTAATCAGGCCCTATCTGTATTTGTCACACTATTTCCCAGCACCTACCACAAGAAAGGCACTGCCTCTGTTCTGAAGTTCTGGAACAGGCACACGGTTTGGTTTTGGCGGCCGCTTATTCCTTCGCGACAGCCAGTGTTCAGTAAATATTGGGTCCTTATTATGGGTCCGAACTCTGTTATGCTAAAAAGACAGGCGTAGTTAGAGCAGTTCCTGACTTCAAGGCCAGGAGAGGGGTGGACAGGGCATGAGACATGCGTGGACCATCATGAAAGGCAGGGTTAGTCTCCCAGTGGGACGAGTATGGCCACAGCCGCACCATGAAAGGCACCTACCCCCAGGCTGAGCTGCACGGGACCAGCTGACCCACGCTTGACTGGCCCTGAGGAAACCCAGTGTATTTTTAAGGAGACAAGTACTCAATAAATAAACTCTTAAATGGATGTAAATAAAATCTAAAGTGTTTTAAAGCTAAAAATCCCCTCAAGTTGTCACAAGGAGGGTAGAACAGACCAGAGGCCAGACTCGCCTTTGTTAGAAATCCCAGGACTCCTGGGGGAGGTGCACGGGGAGGACTGGGGAAGGACACAAGGGAAGGACACTGGGCACAGAGAACAGAATTACTCCGTGGTGTCTCCGTGGCCTCGTTTCATGTAGAGATTCAGCTGCACCTTTCCCTTCAGCCCGCCTCCTTCTACCACCCACCCTCCTGGGGTCCCAGACCCCCGTCTTGGTCTATGAGTAGGCAGGAGTAGACTTGCCACAGCTGAATCCTTCCTGTTCCAAGAGGCAGGTTCTCCTCCTGTCAACACTGTCCCCAGCCCTCTGGGTAGGGAGAAGGGGTCCTGCCTCCACCTACTTTCAATTATGGACTTTTTCATCCAGACCCTTGCCTTTGAAAGGTTTTAGTCGGTTTTATTTTGGTTTGGTTTGGTTTGGATATTTTTGTTTGTTTGTGGTTTTCTTCTGTGACCAGACGACCTGAGCAGAACAGTTTTGGAGGAGGACAAGTTTATTTGGTGCTCATGGTTTCAGAGGTCTCAGTCCATAAGGAGCCAATTCTGGCGCTCTTGGCCTGAGGTGAGGTACAACACCATGGTGGACGGTGTGGCGGTGGAGAGCAGCTCAGGATATGACAACCAGGAAGCAGAGAGAGCTCCCCTCACCACAAGCAAAATATCAACCCCAAGGGCACGCCCCCATGACCCCCCTCTACCAGCCACATCCTACCTGCTGAGTTACCATCCAGTTAAACCCTACCCGTGGATTCATGCACTGATTAGGTTAAGGCTCTCATAACCTGAACACTTCACCTCTGAAATTTCTTGCATTGTCTCCCACATGAGCTTTGGGGAGAGACCTAATTTCTAAACCATAACAGAAGGTGTTCCTATCTAAACATTGAGGGACATATGTAGGAGTGTCCAGAGAAATTGAGTCATATTTGCTTATTTCTTACAAAGTGGTACTGAAATCTGTGTTGCCTTTCCCTTCCAGGTCATTATCAGCACCAGAAGTGGTTCCTGGGTCATGAGCCGGGTTTGGGATGACGGCTACCCTTGGGACATGGTGTATGTTACCCGCTTTGCCTCCTTTCTCCTGAATATCCTTCCATCATTTGTCTCTGACTGGTTATACGTCAAGAAGATGAACACGTGGTTTAAGCATGAGAACTATGGCCTGGTGCCTTTAAATCGGTACTACAAATAGTATATATTTCATCTTTCAAAAAGCAGGGCACTAGTTAACCAAATTCTTTCTCTCTCGACCCCACTGTCATTGTCTCATTGAGTCGGTGGGATTAAATTAAAAACTGCACAGATGACACAAAAGACTGGATGATCATGTATGGGTTGGAAACCTTGTTGAGACCAGTTGGGAGAAATGTATGCAGATGAATCCGAATGGGCGTGGACCAGGCAGCTAAGTGGTCCTGAAGAGCAGGATTCAGAGTAGCTACAAGCCATAGCATAGGGCGTGGAGGGCAGAGCAAACTTCTTTTTAAGACTATCTTGTCCATGCTCATAGGTGAATGAGGTTATCAATAACATCTGCTTCCCAAGACTCTTGACATGTTCCATAGGATAAGAAAGATAAAAATGATTTTGTAAGCCATAGAGCATTACAATTATTGGCTCTTAGCCTCAGGGATTCTGATGCGCTTCTAAGGCACATTTAACAGAATAGTGTCAATCAACATGTCTCTACCAGTAGGAAATCTCAGAGCAAAGGTGGACGCTTCCTCCACCCCTGGCAACTGCACAGTTTTGCGAGGCAGTCAGGAGACAGGGCACCTGTAAAGCAATGAAGGTCCATAGTGCCGACGTGACCTGTAAAATTACTAAGGTTCATTTATTTACTTCTTCTGGAGAAAAAGCCCGATACTCACTAATGAGGAAGGCGTTCTGGTTAGGAAGATCAGTATGGGGGGGGGGGACTTTTAAGTGGGTAAGAAAAGAAAGGTTTCACTAAGAAATTTCACCTGCTGGCCATGTGGGCCAAAAAGTTCAACTGCGTGTAGAGACACCAGTTAAGGAAAAATGAGGAGGAACTGTAAATTAAGCAACAGGTTTAGGAATGAAACCCTGATCCAAAGCATTTATCCTACCCCGTCTCACTGACTGCTATATCCCTCGTGAAAAATTAACGTTGACTTTACACCTTTAAAATAGATACATTTAACACAAAAGGCATTCCAAAGCTTGAGCTGGTTAATATATTTTGTCCTATAAAAGTAACTGCAAACTATATTTTGGCTTCTCCATTTAGACAGTTAATACTCAGTTTTGGAAATCCATTCATTCTGAGAACAAAGCTCCCTCCCAGAAAAGGTTCGGGGTACCCTTATCACTCCGCCTTGGCTGGAGGTGAAGGAGAACAGAACCCAAAACAGGCTTTGCTGTGACCTCCTTTCTTTTTTTCTTTTTTCTTCTTTCTTTCTTTCTTTTTTCTTTTTTTTTGTGTGTAAGGCAAAAAGAGGTTACAGAGTTACAGAGGTGGAAAACTGTGGAAATACATAGAGATAAATTTTAACATTTAAACAGTTTCTTGGTATATGAGGTACTTAGAGGAAATTCCAGAATCCCTGAAGGAAACTTAAGTCAACATGAAATATGTTGTCATAAAAAAATATCATTCCTAGAATTTTGGCAACCAAAGCACAGTATCTAAGTTGTTATTTTTTGTTTTGTGACCAGAGCTGATGGAAGAAAACCAAACATGGCAATAAAACACTTACCACACATCTTTAAAATCTTCCCTACACAAGACCTTAAAATTGTAATAATGATCCACTTACAGTAATTGTGCAGGCATGTGCTGGGTGCGGTTCAAAGTGCTCTCTAGATAATTGTTCATTTAGTTCTCACAAGAACCCTATGAAGAAGATACTAGGATTCTCCCCTTTGTACACATAAGAAAACAAATAGAAGCAACAGCCAGAAAGTGTTGGAGCTGTCACGCCCTTGGGCCATGTGGCTTTGGTGTCTACACTCTTAAGCACTTTATTATGTCTAGAAGTGGTTTTATTCTATCTAGTGAATCGCCAAGTCATAAAAGCACCCATAAGAGAAGGCTCAAGTTTCAAGGGTCAAAAAAGGAAGCTCCAACAACATCTTAAGAATTGTAACAGCTGTAAGAAAGGAACTTCCCAAGAGACTTCTGTGACCTTCATGCTAATGGTTAGCGGATCGAATTTGGTAACAGTGCTGTAAGCATCTGCAGATATTTCTTGGAAATGAAGTATTTTTTAACATTTTTTCCACATTTTTTATTGGTGCATTATAGTTGTACGTATTGATGGGATTAATTGTGACACATTCATACATGCACACAATATAACACTAGAATTTGGCCAATATCACTCTCCAACATTTAAAAATAGTTCTCTAGGTGGCTAGCTTGAGCTGAGAATCATAGCTCTCCCAGACGATGGTCTTGAAGGTATTGAGCATATCTAATACACATTAAATTTCTAATAAAAATGTGTCAAATGAATGCATATCAGATCTCTTTTCTAGTGGTTATAAGGAATTTTTCATGCCTTATAACATGAATTTATTCATTTAAAAATGTCACAGTGGCTTTATTAAATAGTAACAGGTAACTATTCACAAAATCACTAATCAACCACTAATCATAAAGCTAGTGACTGGACCATCACACACTTCCTTTATGTTTCCTTTCCTTAGTGCAGACAAACGTGCTTTGAACATGACGTCAGCCGTTGCTTGGAAAGGAGGTGTTTCACAGCAAGGCTGTTTGCCTCTCGTTTCTGCAGTCCCCTGAGGAAAGAGCCCGTGTTCAATGATGAGCTCCCGTCCCGCATCCTGTGTGGCACCGTGTCCATAAAGCCCGGGGTGAAGAAGTTCACAGAGACCTCCGCCGTGTTTGAGGACGGGACAGTGTTTGAGGCCATCGACTGCGTCATCTTCGCCACAGGCTACGGTTATGCCTACCCCTTCCTTGACGACTCCATCATCAAAAGCAGGAACAACGAGGTCACCTTGTACAAAGGCATCTTCCCCCCTCAGCTCGAGAAGTCCACCTTGGCTGTGATTGGCCTGGTCCAGTCCCTGGGGGCTGCCATCCCCACAGCGGACCTGCAGGCCCGCTGGGCTGCGAAAGTGTTGGCAAGTAGGTGGGCCACCTGCATTTCATTCTTTTAGTCAATGAGCATTTATGGAGCACCTCCTGTATGCCAAGTACTGTGCTGGAAATCCAACGGGGTAAGAGAAGCAGGTGCTCCTTGACGTCACAGAAGTTCATATGGGACGTGGGGTGACGCCACAACAGGGGAAGCTGTGGGGTCTTCTGGGGAGGGAAGCTGGCCAGTGACTCCATGGAACAGCATGAGGAAAGACACCAAGGCGAAGAATGACATTGCATGTGTGAGGGAGCAGAAGCGTTTGGTGGAAGGGAATATAACGCAGAGGAGGGGAGTAGCAAGGGATGAAGGGAGGTGCTCCATCACCAGGGGCAAGAAAGGCTATGAAAAGCAGCCTGACCTTCTCACAGGGAACTGAGCAGCCTTTGCAAGGGTTCACGTAAGAGAGGACAGCACGGGGTCAGTGCAGTGACAGGTGCATGCCAAAGGCGAGGAGGGCCTGGTGGGCACTGGGGCCCGCTGGAGAGCTGGTGAACATCAGCTGGTGTCACTGTCACAGTATCACTCTGACTCTGTGACAGTCTTCTCCCCCGCCCCTTCCTTGGTTCTAGACCCCAGGATCTCCAGGGGCTGCAAGAATTCTTGTGTGAGGAGATCAAGAATATGAGAATTACATGGAGAAAGTCTCCAATATATGGATTTAATTACTCCAGTGACTGGATTAACACTAATATTGAACATGTCCTTTTATTCAAGG